GAGGGAAGGGGCCGGCCCAAGGGGGGGGGCGCCGGGGGGGGGGCCGGACCCCCGCCGGGGGCAGGGCCGCCTCCGTCAGCACCAGCCTCCGCGTTGCCCGGCGGCCGGAGCGGTTCCCTCCCGCTTTCAGCGACTTCTCCTCCTCCCCGAGAGCCACCCCTCGCCCAGCAGCACCAGTTCCTCACCAGAAAACCCAGGAGATGTCGGGGAGGCCTTGGGGGGCGTGCCTGGCAGGAACAGGAGGGCCGCCACTGCAAGAAAGGCTCAACCGTGCCACCACAAAGCGACCAAGCGCTTGTAAACCAGCCAGCCTTGACCTGCGGAGCCCCCGCGATGAGGCCCAGCCTCGCTCACCGCAGCTGCGGCAGCTGGAGGAGCCTCCACAGGACGGTTCTGCCGCAGCCGCGCGGTCCCCCTCAAGCTCTGAACCTCCCTGACCAGTCTCGTGTCCTCGCTTCCACACAAGTAACTGCCTAGCTCACTGCAGAACAGGGGAGAGCACACAAAAAGCCATTGTTACTTCTCCTGCTTCGTAAGCAAACGTCTAACCCAGGACTGACCGACCATTTTCTGCCGTCCCTTTCTGGAGAGGTGGCCTCACCCCAGGCCCCTGGTGCTGGGCTCCGCCTGTGGCAGCCACCACGGCCACAGCCCCCGCCAGCCCTCTCCTGCTCCTCCTCAGCCAGACCCGTCTCCTCTCCTCTGCAGCTGGGGCGCAGGATAAGGTCACCACAGCTCAGCTGAGCAGGGTGCTGCTGGAAACACTACCACGCCAGCCCGCGGCAGAGAAAGCTCTGGCATTTTTTTAAATCCTGGGCCAAGGCATCACAGCACACACTACTACAGCCCAGGCTATCCCAGCTTCCACACGCCAAACTGCCCACGCAGAGCATCATGAGAGCATGGTAACCCCTCGAGCTGCCAGCAGCACGTTAGAAAGGAGGAGAATTAACACGAATACACCAAACGGGTCTGTAACGCAGGAGGCTGAGAGCAGGGTTAGAGTAGGTTTTGGGTCTCAGCACTTCCAGACAGTGAAGAATGGGGGTTTCATGCAGGGTGAATGGGGTGGACGAGAGACCAACACACCCAGGCACCTACTCACTGGTTTGGATAAGCCTTACTAAAACTCTAATACCCGATGCAATCACTGACCAACATGACAACTGCTATTCTTCAGAGTCTCCTGCAGAGATGTTTGGGGCTGCACGGACAGGGGAGTGAAGGTCATATCATACCTTCCTGTACAGGGAGAGAGGCAGCTCCTACGCCATAAGGCCATAAGCAAGTTCCTGCTCCACACCTGTTCACATCTGCCACTAGGTGCGGGACAACACGCTCACTTGCATAAATCTTCATACCTTTAGGCCAAGACCACAGCCCAGTAGAACAAGCTGCTGCCAGTTACAAAAGAGGAAAATACTGAACAAACTGGGAGGTTCAAGAGAGGAAAAGCTGGTTCAGAGAAGACAGATTTAGTGTAAAAATAAATGTCATTTTTGCAGGAGGGAGGGTGGAATGGAGGAAGACAGTGCCAGGTGCTCCTACTGGCGCACTTTCCCTGGGACGTAATTCCTATCAATAGTCTCCTCTTGCAGGAACATATGTAAGCAGCGCTCGTTCTGTGCCAGTGGGTGTCCAGCAATTCTGGAAGAAAATCAGATGTGGAGGTTAGCACAGCCGCCACCGAGACCCCCCCACCTCCGCTCTCTGCAGGGAGCTAGTAAGGCTGACCTCCTCGCTAACGGGCAGCCAGCTCCAAGCACACACGCACCAGGCTCAGGCCAAGGTCACCGCATCGGCATGCAACAGGGCCAGCAAGAGGTGCTTGAGCACAGGGTGTTCCTTCCCACACCATGCCCTGCAGCAGGGCTTGAGCATCCTGAACCAATGCTACCCTGTCAGTGGGTCTCTCCAGCACTGCTAAGATTTGCTTCACTCAGAAGAGAGTGCTGAACACAACCCACACCCAAGGCAGGACTTGCTTCAGAACCGTGGTTTCATTACCCAGCTGCAGGCGCCATCCTTTAGCACGGCACCTGCGTGCAGCACATCCAGACTCCTTCCCGGTCAAGCCACAGCCCTCTTCTACCAGCAGTAGCTGGAAAGGCAGCACACAGCAAACCCAGAACATCAAGCTTACTTGTTAATAAACTGTTCTAGTCCCTGTCTCCGCTCCTCAATGAAGGACTCCTCAAAGATGCCTTCGTCTCCTCGGAAGGGAAGCTGTCGTTTCAAAGCTTTTCCAGGCAGCGGTGGCACTACAATCTGAAAGCACAGAATCACCCTGTCAGCAGAATGGCCACCTGCAAGTGGATATCCTTTGCCACTTGACACTCATCTCTAGCCCCGTTACGTGGACAGAGATCAAGCCCCAGCAGCTGCCCACAACCACGGCCTCTCTTCTGGGCAGCTCAAGACATCACTACAACTGTTCCCATACATCCTAGTTTCAGGAATAGGCAGGTCTGAGCCAGGCCTCACCTTACTGTCTCGTTCCAGCTCATTCTTCAGCCATTCAAAGTCACTATATCGTCTCCTCACACATGACTCCTTCAATTTGAAGATTGGGAGGTTTGTCTGTAACAAAGAGAAGTAGTTAATTTGCAGGTTGCTTTGGAAGCCGGATAGTATTTCAAGACATAATTGAAACCTGAAGCTGTGTTTAGAAAACCAAGCCCCCTGAGAAGGACGCATCACGAGAACACCCAGCTTCTTTATTCAGGACACAGCACAAGCACCGAAGCCCTTCAGAATCAAGCAAGCACTTGCCAGGCTACTCAGAGCCAGCCATTCCCTCCCCCTCAAGTGACTATTTCAGGAACACACCCCCTCACAGGGGCACGCACTGGAACCAGGGCTCACAATACAGAAAAAGCTGATTTTTCTTCCCCTGAGTTTGCTCCATTTTGAAGTGATCTACAAGAGAGCTTCACAGCAGCCTGCAGAGCAAAAGAACCTCTGACTTGACACTGGCATTTCCGTGGAAGAACTAAGGGAGGAAATCTTGTCCTAGCAACTGTTCAAGGCCAGACCTCGTGCCACAGTCTTCTTTCAGAACAGATCGCCTACCCTAAGAGGCGAGCAGCTTTTTCATATCTGGCTTGTGTCACGGGAGGAACGTGCAGCAATTCCCCACCCTCCTTCCCTGCCACTAGAGACTGACAGCCACAGTAACTTCACCTTTACCCTGTCAACGCAGCCTGCAACATTCAAGGAACTGAGGTAGCAAAACCTTCTGACAAGCAGCACCCAGATGAACACAGGTATTGCTGCAACACATTTAACTATATTCTTATGAGGTCTGCAAAATAAAACCAGCTGCTTTCAAAGCATCTCTGCGGCAGCTAGTTTCAGTGGGACTAAGAGGTTCTCAGTGACACCTGCCAGGCACCCTTTGGCAGGCTGATGGAAACCAAGGGTCAGAAAAAAGCAAATACCCAATTCTTCTGAAAAGTGGTGGAAACTTAGCAGTTAAATCCTGCTATGAACAGAAGTCAACGTCAGCACCGTAACATAAGCTAAAGCAGCTTGTTTCAGGGGAAGCTCAATTTTACTTCCTTCAGCTATCATATGCAGAGCTGTGAAGAAGTCCCCAGTTTGGCTTGGTTGAGGCCCAGTGAAGAGAACCCTGCAAGAAGTCCTCAGCCTGCACGGGATCACGGGCTCTTTGTCAAGTGATCAAGCTGACCCAGGAGGGGTAGCTAGACTGCACTGTGATCAGGTCCCAAAATACCGCTAGCTAGCTAGCTTTCCTCTCCTGCCTGAGATAACCAGCTGCGTGCAGTCGTGCCCTGCTCAGCAACCACCCGGCCGTGCCCAAGTGCCAGGCCTGGGGCTCCGGAGAGAGGATGGGCGCAGGAGCCTGCTGAGGCAGCACTCTCCTTGTCCTTGGGCATACCGGCCCCCGCTGGATGCCGAAGGGCCCCGGCAAACCCACCAGCTGCGAGCGCTCTGACCTTGAGCCCGGGCCCACCGGAGAGCCGCGGGCGCGCTGCCAGCCCCAGCGCGGCACTGCCCGCCCCAGCGCGGCACTGCCCGGCTCGCAGGGCCGGGGCTCGACTCCCCC